TACAAAGAAAATCCAGCTTCACATAGACATGTAGTTGAAAAAGAGAGAGTCAGTTAAATAGCCTTTTCAGAAAATGTGGATATTCTATTAAGTACTAGTTTTTTTAAAGGTTACAATGTAGAATCTGCAACTACATCAGTGAATTTTTCATGCTTGGTTACACTAACATCCAGTGGTCGATCGTATACTTTGAATGAATCTTTTTTTCATGTATGCCTTTGTGACATCACGTACTGGTCACTTGGAAAATACTGGTTCACTGATTGTCCAGCTCTTTCACATATTTACATTATTTTATCATTCAATATCAAAAAATGGCATTTGTAAATATTACCACTGATATCATTAGAATTGGGAAGCTATTAAGCTCCTGGTGGCAGATATAAATTTTCCAAAATTTCAATTTTCACTTGAAAGTTTGAATTTCCTCTTTGGCAACAAATATTGTCAGTTATTTTCCTTAAAGTGACATGCTCACTTTGTTCATTTAAAAAAAAAAAAAAAAAGTGTGTCAAATACCTATGCCTGAATAGCCATAATTATTTATTCTTTCAAATAAAAATGGCACTCCATAATAAAAAGGACAGTTTAGCCTGCAACTCAAATGACTGCACAAGTGCTTTTCTTTGAAACATCACAGTATTTTTGTGTTTTATGTGTAATTTATATTTTGTTACCAAGAATATTAAAAAAGATGTGTACTAAAGGATCAAGATATAATAAAGTTAATTTTTAATACTTCATCAAGGGTATTCTTAGGGGCAAATGGCTTTTTTTTTTTTTTTAAACTATAACCACATGCCAATGAAGAACATGATAACTATTTGAACAGTTTGGTGCCATTGCCTTGATTTGCGTAGTAAGGCACCAGTGGTTTTACCCACCATTGCTTTTGAACCGTAAGTGCAAACATTAACGCAATATAAAAAAATCAAATAACATCTAGTATTATAAAATTAGTTTTGGAAGCCAAGGCCGGACAATCACTTGAGGTCAGAAGTTCAAGACCAGACTGGGCAACATAGTGAGATTCCATCTCTAAAAAAAATATTTTTTTAAATTAGCTGGGAACAGTGGTACGTGCCTGTAGTGCTAGCTACTCAGGAAGCTGAGGCAGGAGGATCACTCGAACCCAGAAGTTCTAGACTGCAGCGTGCCTTGATGGCGCCACTGCACTCCAGACTGGGTGAAAGAGCAAGACCCTGCCAAATAAAATAAATTAATTAATTTGATTAAAGTAAAACAATAAAACAAAACTAGTTTTGATCTCATGGATATCCTGAAAGGATCTCAGAATCCCCAGAGGTCCACGAACCAAGCTTTGAGAAGCACTGGTTAATGGGAAACAGATTCATACAACACAAGATCTCATTTGTGATGACTACCGTCCTCTGACTTCAAACTCAAATGATCTCCAACTCATTAAGTAGATATTGCTTTATTCAAACTCATTTTTATATTTAGTCTGTACAGCTCCTCTCAGGGAATCCAATCAACTAGAAAGTATATGAAATGAGTGATTTCTGAGTACCTACTATATACATATATGAGCTAAGCATCAGGAGATTTTTTTTTCTAAACTCCTAGTTATGGGAAACTTAGCTCAAAGTCTAAACTGTGAGGCAGAAGCAAGAACACGATTTCTCATAGTGATTATGTGTAATAGTAAAAATTCTCAAATAACGGTTTATGGCAACGAGAATAACACTGAAACACCAGCAAAACAACATTTTTTTCTTAATTACTCCAATAGGCAAATATGGTGGCATTTTTACTACTAGATACACTGAAATATTTACCAGGTTCATTCAGATGTTCCCTCCCAGGAAGCTGCTCAGCATTAATGTCCCCTAAATCACCAGTTTTGGAATCAATGGTTGCCTGAGAGAGCTCTTTTTCAAAAGCCTTGATCTCTTCAGCACTTGCTGTTCGATCTTCTGATTCTGTAAACACTCTAATAATACCATCACTATAAGGAAAAACAAACTGATTTTAAAAGTCATTGCTATAGTATATTAACATTATCACATCTGAATAATCCAAAGCAAAAATAATCTGTATTTATGAATATGAGCAACATTACTATACATTTATTGCTGAGTATAGAACTATGCTGACTTCGGCATACATTACTCTCTCTTACTTCCACTATTTAAGGGAGAAGTTACTGAAAAAGAACACATATATATTTAATATAATTTTCAATTCCAAGTTAAATACTTACCATCATCAAAATCTAGAAATGTAGTATATAAAGTCAACTTTATATAGGTATTATGGTACAGAGAAGGGTAGTGGGCTAGTTTACTTTACAAGGGCCTCCAAGTTTAGTAGATGGTCAGTAGGGAAACATGGTCTTCCTTTACTATACTAGTAACTAGCAATGTAACCTCAGCCTCGTGTTTGGACTTGATAGCAATCCTCAAACTCTATTCTCAGAAAAATTTCTTCATTTCCATGATTTTTCAATTCTAAATTTTGAGATAGGAGAGGCAAGTTAGCCACTTTCAACTGTATTAATCATACCCAATTGTACAGAAAACCTCTTTCTTACTTAATCTTCCACTAACATCAATTTCACTCTTTCAATAGGTTTATTTTTCTTCAACTTTAAATATGCTTTGGGGTGGGGGGTGAAGTAAGCCAACAAATCAACCCCTGTCCAAGGCAAAAAATAAAACACTTCTACTTTATTAGATCCTCTATCCCTTAAAATTGTCGCCTTCTTTTTCTTCTTGCCATCAATGCCAGAATAGTCTATAATCCTTTCCTTCATCTCTCTCCTCAAACGACCCTTTAATTCTTCTGATTTGCCCTTTTTCTATCATTTTCTACCAAAATGTGGTGTCAAGAGTCACTAATAACATCGTCAAAATCACATCCAAATGTTTTTCTAACTTTCCATTCTTTGACCCCTCAAACACTTTTTGAAAATGTCCCTCCAAAAACTCTCCTTTTCCATCTCCCTGAATTTCAACATAGGATTCCTTTGTTCTGTTTAACCTACTGGCTTCTTTTTCTCTATCCACAATATATCACAAGATTCAGTTCTTAGTCTTCTGTTCTTCTTCTCTATTTCTTCCCTCAGAGAAAGGTGTTCTATGGTTTGCTTTTGGCAGTTTCGTGGAAATGTTTATCTTAGTCTTAGTTCTTACAGGCTCCAGTCCAGCTGCCCATGATCCACTGACATGAGTGTGGCTCACTCTCACTCAGACCTCAGGAAGTCAAAAGCCACAGTCAGCATCTTTTGCACCAAATCAATTCTCCTACTTCCTCGGTTTTATTAATAGGGACTGCCAATCACCAAAAGTTTGAAGGTTTATCCTTTCTTTCATCCCCTTTCTGATCATTTTCCTCTGAACTACCTTATTTATTTTTATCTCCTATCTATTAACACCATGGGGCAAGCATTTTATAATTTCACACCCCTACTTCTATAGTTGCTTTCTAATTTACCTTCCTTTCCAATGTCACCACTAGTTAAATCCAACCTACTATTTAATAATTCACAAGTTCTGCTTTAATCATATCATTTCTTGCTTAAGAGCTACAACCCCTTAACCCCAAGCAATAAATCTAAAAAATACCTGGCATTTACCATTCTCCATAGTTAGGCCCCTATTATCCATTATTTCCCAGCATTAGTCCTCCAAACCATTTTCCTTCATCTCCTATGCATATCGCATTCATTCCCATAAAGGAAATTTACAGTTCCCTTTGACAGAAAAATTCTCATTTCCTTTCTTACTCATTATCTTTCAAAATCCAATTCCAATTTCTTCTTCTCCAGAAAGTTTTCCTACACCAATCCCTACCTTCTATAATTTCCCTTGAATTCCATGTCTTGACTGTACAACTTATAGTACAATAATGGTATTAATATATCAAGTATCACTAGTATAAAATCTGTTATACTTACCACTATTTTGTTTAGTAATAGAAATGTGCAGTCACCCCAGTTCACCTGAAATTCCTTATGGCTTATCTCTGTACACTCTAGTACCTACCAAGCGCCTAGGCACATAAATTATATTTATTGATTGACTAGAATATAAATACCTTGCACCAACCACGATGTCACCATTGTCTAGGACACAGCAGCACCATATAGACTGAGCTGGAAGTCGGATTGTTTGAGCACATTCCCCATGTTTCCAGATTCTCAGAGATCTGTCTTCTGCTGTTGTCACAAAATCTAAAATTAATGAACACAGGAAAAATTAGTTTGAATAAATAAAATTAAGTATATTTATACATACCATCTTTCTAAATAGATATTCTATTTTTTTTTTTTTTTGAGACAGAGTCTCACTCTGTTGCCCTGGCTAGAGTGCCGTGGCTTCAGCCTAGCTCACAGCAACCTCAAACTCCTGGGCTCAAGGGATCCTACTGCCTCAGCCTCCCGAGTAGCTGGGACTACAGGCATGCGCCACCATGCCTGGCTAATTTTTTCTATATATGTATTTTCAGTTGTCCAGATAATTTCTTTCTATTTTTAGTAGAGACAGGGTCTCGCTCTTGCTCAGGCTGGTCTTGAACTCCTGACCTTGAGCAATCCACCCGCCTCGGCCTCCCAGAGTGCTAGGATTACAGGCGTGAGCCACCGCGCCCGGCCTAGATATACTATTTTAAACCCAAAAGTTTTAAAATTACGCTTTTAAATTTTATATATTTGTCACTTATACCATATACAGCTACAAAAACCACATTTTTAAATTTATTTCACATCTTACATCCCGTACCTTGTGCCAATAAATTACACAAAGCCTATCCTCAGATACCTAAGGGCTTTTTACGACATGACCATCTAATCAGAATTAATATAAAGATGGCCATGCAATTTTCTTCATTAGGAAAAAGATACTTATATAGTAAAGTTAATAAATTATTCAAGTCACAGACATTAATTTGATTTAAGTAATAACCTCTCCTCCCTCTCATGAATGGGATAGAATAATGCTCAATACAAAATTTTAAATATACAGCATCAAATAATCTTACCTTTACAATTTGGAAAGACTGATATGCTATAAATATAATTTGTATGTCCATAATATACTTCAAGACACTCGCCAGTGATTTGCCACCTTCTAATACTAGCATCATTTGCACAGGAAAGAAATTCTGTTTCACTCAAAATAGCCAAACCTCTTACACAGTCTTCATGTCCTGCATCAAAAAAAGGATCATGTAAGTCAAAAAAATGGATCATCTGGTTGATGGCGCTATATATTTTGCTAACATTATAAAAATATATCAGTCAATGGTAAAAACCGATCTTCAAGTTAAAGAAATTTATTTTTCTTTTTCTGTGGAAAAGCCTGGTAACCAAAATTTGTATTTTAGCTTTAGCAATATTTTTTTATCACCAGTTTTGGGAAGTTATTTTATACTCATCCTATCTTTTTCCAATTATTTCCTAAAACCCTCTAGAAATAGTATTTTGACCCCAACAATTCTTCATTTTCAATGAAGAATTTTCAATTTTTCTTCCCCAATAACAAGAAAAATTCATAAAATATATGGTGTTCAAATAAAACAGAAATATACATCAAACAGTAAATATCCTATAAATATAAGAACAAAACATTAAAGCTTGTGATCTAATGAAGATCAGAAGTCAAAACTTTCCCATGCTCAGTATTTATTGATTTATATTAGCTATCACAGATTAGTAATGATTTAATACATATATAGTAAATATTGAAGCAGAAACAGAGGGAGCTTAGTTATAACTCATCATCCATTTTCCATCAATAGATACTTTTATCTGCAAAAAAGAACTTCTTACATATTATCCAGGGTGGCGATCAACTTTTAAGAAGAAAATAAAGAGACAAAACAAACAAACAAACAAACAAAACCCAATAAAAATTCACACCAAAAATGTAAGTACCACGCAAATAAATTGGTGATATTACTATCAGCAGATGCATCAGTGTAAGTGTTCTGCTGGCCCACCATCAGTAAGGCTTATGCTTGAAAGTTTCAGGCTGAATGTGTTAAAATGACAACCAAAAATATAACTGCACACCAAAAAGTACACATGTATAATATATAGAAGCGTATAGAAATATTACAGCTTTTCAGACAGCTATTTATTATGTTGTTTATGAAAGGTTTCATTATATCTTTTAAAAAGACATTAAGTATTAACTGACAGGAAAATTACATTCACCCAAATTAAGTGGCTCAAATACTGATGTTTTTCAAATACCATTTCCAAGCTTCCAACCTTTTGAGAAAAAAATCATCTGAGCAAATAAGAAGCAATGATATTATAAAAGTTGTCTACCCTGATATTACCTGAAAAAGTCCTCTCACATCTTCCAGCCTTCCACAGCTTAATAGTCCTGTCTGCCGATCCCGTCAACATTAAGCCCTGCTCAGGTAAGATCTTTACCGCCCATACTGCAGCTGTATGACCCTGTGAGTAAAATGGTTATCAATTTAAGTTGCCACAGAATTGTCAAATTTAATTATTATCTAGGAATATTCATATAGTACTGTACCTGCAAAGTCATCATGCATTTGTCATTCAGCCAGACTTTAGCAGTGGTGTCCCATGAGCCACTAAGTAATGTCCCAAATTTTCCAGATGAAAGACTACAAACTATAGGAAAAAGTCATTAGTTAACACATTTTCATAGAGAAGAATGCTCAACCTTGCAAGTTATTAAAGCAATGCAATTTTAGAAACACTTCATGAAGTGACAGTCTCTTAGCCAACTAAGGTTTAATTCAGTGGAGATGCAGATGAATACAGCGATCAAGAGCAGACTCTGGTGCCAGGCTGCCTGGGCAGGAAGCCTAGCTGTACCACTTACAAGCTGTGTGATCAGAGATATTAACCTCAGATTCCTAGTCTGTAAAAGGAGGAAGCAGGACTAAGAAACTATTAATACAATAGGAAGATAATGCAAATAATTTTGAAACGCTGCTTATATAGATATTTGCTGTCACTTTCATTAAAATGACCAAAAACTAGAGCCAAGTTCAACATTCAAGAGTAATTAAATGGTTAAGTATCTTATTATCTTGATATAAAATTATACAGGCTAAAAAATTAGTCCAGGAATAGTGGTTCACACCTGAATTCCTAGCGCTCTGGGAGGCCGAGGTGGGAAGATCACTTCAGTTAAGGAGTTCAAGACCAGCCTGAGCAAGAGTGAGACCCCCATCTCTACTAAAAATAGAAAATATTAGCTGGGTAACTAAAAATAGAAAAAAAAATTATCTTAAGAAAGGAAGAGTATCCCAGAGAGTCAAAGCAGAGCCATGAAGAACCAAAGATTGGGAATGCCTTTCCTGAGACCACAGGGAACCGATCACAAAATTCTCCCTATTCTCAAAGAAGGGTTTCCTTAAAACGGCCATTCATTTGGATTTCAGAATGACTATAATAAGAAACTGCTATCTTGTACTGTGTCCTTGCTTGAATGGGAGTATTTGCTCTGACTATCCCATTCCTTTGCCACAACTGTACATCGGGTATGGGTGACAGATAACTTGTGTTTTTAGCCTACAGATCTCTGAATGTAAGAGGAACCACATTTGGACCATATGTAGAAACACCTGTGCACCACCTCCTTGATGTTTAGAATACCAGTAATCACCCAGACATTCTTTTTTTTGAGCCAACAGTCAGGCTAGAATGCTGTGGTGTCAGCCTCGCTCACAGCAACCTCAAACTCCTGGGCTGAAGCAATCCTCCTGCCTTACCCTCCCAAGTAGCTGGAACTACAGGCATGTGCCACCATGCCTGGGTAATTTTTTTCTATTTTTAGTTGCCTGGCTAATTTTTTAGTAGACATGGGGTTTCGCTCTTGCTCAGGCTGGCCTCAAACTCCTGACCTCAAGCGATCCTCCTGCCTCGGCCTCCTAGAGTGGTAGGATTACAGGCATGAGCCACCATGCCCAGCAACACCAAGAGATTCTCAACTTTGGGACTGACGCTGTAACTGAATGAGACCTTTGATTGTTTGACAAGCTGAATAACTGGTAACCAGAAGGCATGCTGTGGCAGCTCTCCCTTTTTGTACACACAGGAGGATGGTACTTGCCTCCTCTATTTGAAGTTAGGCACAGCCATGATACTTGCATTAGTCAATAGACAAAATGGTAGTTGACACTTTCAGGCACATGCGTTTAAGAGCCAGTGCATTATTAACCATGTTGCCCTTTCACTGATCCAACAACTACTGAAGCACGTGTAGAGATAAATCACCCATAGGCCTGGGTCTCTGAGAAAATGTGATGTGCAGAGGCCTCTTACTAAACCACGCTGAACATGTAGAATGAATAAGAACTACATTTGTATTACAGCGCTGAGGTCTAGGAATTGTTTGTTACTATACCATAATCTAGTCTATCCTGACTCACGTTATATGTTAAAATATTTTTAAAAAGTAGGCCAGGCGCGGTGGCTCATGTCTGTAATCCTAGCGTTCTGAGAGGCCGAGGTGGGCAGATCGTTTGAGCTCAGGAGTTCGAGACCAGCCTAGGCAAGAGCGAGACCC